AGCTGGAACCTAGGCAGAAACCTGCCAGAGATGGAAAATTCAAATATTTTAAACTAAAGTAGAAAACTTTCAAGACCTGGAAAGACAAGGCTGTCCCATGAAGTTCTAGCTCTCACAAATTTCATGTAATAGCAATAAGAGCTAGCATTCAACAGCAAAGAACAAAACAGACCCTCATGTGACCGCTGCCCTAATACCCTTAAGAGGGAGGGAGGACAGCATTCTTAGCATCCCCATTTAACAGATGAAGAGACAGAATCGGTGAAATTAAGTGACAGTCTCAATGTCACCTGGGCAAATCTGACCTACAATTCAAGTCATAAGACTTCAAATCTTGTTTCCTATGTCCTATTCAACACAGCCCTACCGTCATGCCTCCATTTTAGTGGGAAATTTGCCTTTTTTCCATCATTAGGGGCCAAAAGCAGATCATTAGGACTTCCCAGAATAGGGAAGGAGCAAAGGTTCTACTTGTAGCTTTCGGATGCAGGTTCCAGGTATCTAGATGTCAAAAATCTTACTTTGCTCATCTCTAAGGTACTTTTGGAGAGCTACAAGAAAGAATTTTGGCCAGTCTGTCCCAGTTTACACCTTGAACTCTAATTCCCCAATCTCTTCACTCTTCAAACCCCAAAACTTGGGAAGAGCCAAGGCAAGGTTTCAACTATCAAAGGTTGGAGATCCTGCTCTGGTCTCCTAGTCCTCATCTTCCCAAGATTAACTGGTACTTAGCACATCCCAGACTGGAGACAGAAAGAGAACACAGCATGGTGGAAATGCCAACACATGAGTTCAGACAGCAGCAGCCAATGGAATGCCTACCCACTGGATCCAATTTCAGGGGCTGGGTACCAGGGGGCAACACAAATGGTGAGGTGGTTGGCTGCTACTCGAAAGATTGGTGAATTGAGTCCATTTAGATATGTCTCAGAAGAAAGCACTGGCATTCTACTTCAGAAAAATCAGTCATTGGAAACTCTGTCGAGCACAGTTGCCACTCTGACACACATAGGGTCGCCTTGAGTCATAATTGACTTAATGGCACCTGGACTTGGGTTTTGCTTTATGATCCAGGAAACACCACATACCCATGCAAGGCAGTGTGTCACAACACTTTGTCAAAGAGAGCTGCATAAAGAAAACTAGTCAGGAAAATGACTGAGAGATTACAAAATGAAATAAGGAAGGTAGTATTTTTGCAGATAGCATTTTGCTACGACTGCAAACATATTTCTGGTTCTAGATGCTCTCCCCAAATCTTGGAACTCAAGAGGACACATCTGTTTTCCCTCTCCTTGAACCTGGGAAGACTTTGCGACTGCATCACGATGAAGAGAAGATGCCGTGTAGCATCTGAGGGAGGGCTTGAAAAACTGATACCGCTTCCACCTGTGTCTTTCTTGGGCCCCTGGTCTAGAACTTTGTGAGGAACCCAGGCTATCTGGAGAGTTCACAGGTAGCTGTTACGGCTATCAGATTCAGTGAAGGTACTAGTCGATAGCTGCCATTAACTTGCATTAGACTCCAAGGTCACGAAGTTTTGGGGTAATATGTGACACAGCTAGAGATAACTAGAGCAAGAATCTAGGCCTGAGAGAATTCCAGAGCACTATATAACCTACTGACATTTGTTGTTGTTGTTAGGTGCCATCGAGTTGGTGCCGATTCATAGCGACCCTATGTATAACAGAACGAAACACTGCCCGATCCTGGGCCAACCTCACAATTGTTGCCCTGCTTGAGCCCATTGATGCTGCCACTTTGCCAATCCATCTCGCTGGGGGTCTTCCTCTTTTTCTCTGACCCTCCACCTTACCAAACATGATATCCTTCTCCAGTGACTGGTCCCTCCTGACAATATGTCTTAAGTATGAGAGATGAAATTTGGTCATCCTGGCCTCCGAGGAGCACTCTGACTGCACTTCTTCCAAAACAGATCTATTGGCTCTTTTGACAGCCCATGGCACTTTCAATAGCCTCCTCCAACACCATAACTCAAATGCATCAATTCTTCTACGGTCTTCCTTATTCATTGTCCAGCTTTCACATGCATATGAGGTTATTGGAAATACCATGACTTGTGTCAGGTGCACCTTAGTCCTCAGGCTGACATCTTTGCTCTTCAAGACTTTAAAAAGGTCTTGTGCAGCAGATTTGCTTAATGCAATACGTCGTTTGATTTCTTGACTGCTGCTTCCGTGAGTGTTGATAGTTGATCCAAGAAGAATGAAGTCCTTGACAACTTCAAATCTTTTCTCCGTTGATAAGAATGTTGTTTATTGGTCCAGTGGTGAGGATTTTTGTTTTCTTGACATTTAATATTGGAAGAACTGAAAGAGCTCCGTAACACTTGCCAGGGCAGGGTAGAAACCAAGGAGCCACAGGATCTAGGTGTGCCTGTGGACATAGCTGTGAAGAAGTGGTCCTGATGAAAGAACTTCATTCTGAACACTTCTTTCTTGAACTGTCACCAGTTACTTCTCTAGTAAGGAGCTCTGGTAGCATAGTGGTTACGAATCGGTCTGCTAACCTCAGGGTCAGCAGTTCGAAACTACCAGCTGTTCCGTGGGAGAAAGATGAGGCACTCTGCTCCCGTAAAGATTTATTGCCTTGGAAATTCTGTACACGGTCACTACGAGTCGGAACGGACTCCACAGCACACAACAACAACAACAACACTTCTCTAGTAGACTCCATAACTGTGAACATTGCTTGGGAGTAAAGGTGGGAGGGTGAAGGTATATTTAATGTCCACCTCATAGGAATTGGCCTTGGGTGGCTAACGTTGATGATGGTGCTTCCTCCCCCTTGTGAAGTCATAGGAGGTCAGACGCCACCTCTGTCATTTTTTCAGGTCTCCAGTGTTGCTCCTGAAATGACACTAGGCCCTCTCCCTCCAAGTCCATCAGACATGCTGTTAAAGGTCTGATTCTCTATTGTGTATAAGATTTGAGCCCTTTTCCTTAAGATTCTTTCATTCTGAACAAATCAGGAGGGGAGTTTAGCCACTTCTTCTGGTCTCTGAACGTGCTGTGATGATTAAGGCTCATGTAGCAGTGGGGCGTAATGGACAGTAAGAAGGAAGAAACGAACTCTGAACACCTTCAGAATAAGATTTCCAGTTTCACTCTTGACTTAGTATTCAGAATACTGTCTTAGTTTTCACCTAGAGCCATCTGTTGTGTGTAAGGAATTACATGAGCACAGTTAGAACCTTCACTCTCAGTGCCAGGATACCAAAGAATCATTTTACTTCTAAAAACAACCCTTGGAAGGGCACCTGTTGTTGTTGTTGTTTTAGTGCCATCGAGTCAGTTCGGACTCATAGTGACCCTGTATAGGGTTTCTGAAGAGTGAATCAAGTAATTAGAATCAAAATCAGAAAAATTAAATTATATAAGGATTTGCCTATCTTATATACTGTTGTAATACAAAAACTTAGAACAGTGACTGGAACGTAGTAAGCATCTAATACATATATATTGAATGAATGGATATTGGGAATCTCATTTGAGAGGATATCACCTAATAGTGGATTAGCATAATGAGCTTAGAAAACTGTAGTGTTCAATAGGTTGACATGCTATTGCATTAAGTAATATGTTTTTCAAACTGCTCAAGGCAAATATTAAACCTTAAAACCATGATTCCTTGAGGACAGGAACCACGTCTTATTCCATTTTGTGCTTACAACACCTGGCACTTTGCCTGATACTTGATTAGTGCTCAGTTAATGTTTTTTACTAAATGAATGTCAAACCGAGACCGGTAGAGATATTTCAAATAATGTAGTTTTCCTCGGCCTGGCCTAGCAGAAACAGGGACAGAGAAGCATGTGGGCCACAACACTAGCCAATGTATCTGATCCCTGCAGGGATTAGACTGGGAGGCAAGAAACCAGACGTCCTGAGTCCTTTCAGACTCTAAATTCCCTTGAGGACAAAGAGACTTAGAGGCTGTTTGCAATCTGAGTGTGACTTCGATATTAACAGAAAGGGGTCTAAACTTCCACTTCAGCTCTCAAGAGTGCTTTCATATAATTGCTCCAAATAAGGCTTTTCTTTCACAGTGGTTTCTATAGAGGAGGTACTCATTCATTTCTCCATGAGTTATTTATTCAAGCTATATGAAATGCAGTTATTATGCAAATATTTAATCTGTTCAAGAGTTAGCTGAGCATTCAAAAAAGCTCCCAATCCCTGGAAGAGAATCTGATTGGGTAACATAAAATGTGCTTTTGCCCTCTTGGAATAACTCAAGGGGTGTGGGCTCAAGATTCTCACAATTTATGAATTCAGTGTATCTCCAATTAGGATTATAGGAGGACCTGCATGGGTAAAATTCCTGGAAAGATAATCATTAAAAACAGGTTTCTGGGATTCAGGATACTAAGTCAAGAGTGAGACTGGAAATCTTAGCATGCTGTTGGTGATGTTGACTGAACTCAAGTCTGAGCATCATTGAAAAATGTCTTAATAACAAGAAGTAGGTACACTTGCTTATTATATAGCTCCCCTGCTGAACTTTACAAAAGTAAGGTCTATTTGGTTGATTCTAAGACTTAGGAACTGTCCAAATAAAGCCTAGAATTGTCAAAGCCTCAGATCGAAATTTCACTGAATGAGTGGATTCATTCAGTCTTTCTTAAAACTAACCCCAAATAAGTCTTCACAATAAGAAAATAACAAAGTAAACATATCCATCCTTTAAGAAACTTATAATTTAGAAGCACATTGTTTTTAAAATATTTACTAAAATAGAGAAGATTTAAAATATTGAGGTAGCATATACAAAATCCTTTTCAGTTTGAAAACCAGTAAATACCAATCAGAGGTTAACAGGACACAGGGTGCGAGATCCCTGGACTATGCAGATGGATCGACAGACTGCACAATTCTGTCCCAGTTCCCACAGTGCTGAAGTCCAGCTGGACCCGTGAAACCGTTGCCTTGCCTTACCCCCAAACTCACTCTTCTTCTCCCCAGGATATTCTTACTCACTTTCTGAATTTTCCTAATCTGGTCAGAGAGTGTGTCTAACAGGCGAGTTTTCAGGAAGTCCATCACCTTGACCACCCGGCCATCAATGGAGCAACTGGAATAGAAATAAAATAAGAATCAGATAAAACCTGGGTCAGAGACTACAAATCTACCTCTCCAGCCAGAAGTATCTGTTGCCTGAAGAAACAGTCCAGGGTTCCACTTGGGTTCTTACAGCCTGACAAATTTTGATCCTGGGTACTTTTCAAAGAAATAATCTACTTTTTGTCTTCTCTAGTTCCACCTCCATTTGTAGGTTAATACTGTGATTTTTTTTTTTTTTTTTTAACTTTGTTCTTTAAAATCCCATTGCTTGCTATGGGGAAATTGACAGGAATTCTATAACACAAATTAAGTAGTAGGGAAAATCTTTCCCTCCCCTGCCACAGAAAGTAATTTGACATCCATACCATGGCCACCCTTCCCTCCCATCTAAAAGTAATAGAGGTATGTGAGATGTTTGAAAAACCACTCAAACATTTTGGTAGGTTTCCATAACTTTGGAATAAGAAAACAAACATTCAAGTAAAAATCTCTGTGCAGTAAGTGGGCCTCAAATGTTTTCAGTCCCTTGTTCAACTTCCTAGGCAAAACACCCTATAGCCAACCTCCAAAACCAATCACTCAATTTCACCAATAAATTACAGTCCAAGAGCTCTCTTCTAAAAGTGTAAAAAGTTTGGTACTCATTGGTATGTTGATGTCTGGTTTTTGTTAGGGAGCTAAAGTGCAGTATCAAGTTGCGCTACCACTACCTTGTGAACAGCTGACCAAAGCAGAGCAATGCAGTGTTGCGGGAACTCCCTTAGTGATTCTTTATTTTAAAGACTAAACTGAGATTGCCCCATGGGTAGGTGACCTGCATTACCCTAACCCCTTTTCACTGCTTCCTCCCCCAACTTTGCAAAGTTCTGAGCTGAATCAATTTTTTTTTTTTTCTTAAATGCTCCTGACTCCTGGGTGCCTTTTTCAATCCACTAAGATCCTTTTCAATCCACTAAGATCTCCTTCTACATTTGTCTGGCAGTTTGTCGTACTACAGTGGCTTGCATGTTGCTGTGATGCTGAAAGCTATCTCATTGGTGTTTCAAATACCAGCAGACTCACCCATGATAGACAGATTTTGGCAGAGTTTCCATATTAAGAACAGATTAAGACTAAGGAATAGATGGTCCGCTTTGGAGGGATTAGCTACTGAAACCCTTATGAACCATAGAGAATTGTCTGGTATAATGCCTGAAGATGACCTCCTTCCATTGGAGGCACTCAAAATTTGACTAGAGAAGAGCTGACTACTTGAAGTAGAGTCTACCTTAATGACATGGATGCAGCAAAACTTTTGGGACCTTCATTTGCTGATGGGGCAGAACTCAAAACGAGAAGAAACAGCTGCAAACATCCATTAATTATTGGAACGTGGGATGTACAAAATACGAATCTAGGAAAATTGGAAGTCATTAAAAATGAAATGGAACGCATAAAGATAAATATTCTAGGCATTAGTGAGCTGAAATGGCCATTTAAAATCAGACAATCCTTTGGCTGGGAATGACAAATTCAAGAGGAATGACATTGTATGTATCCTCAAAAAGAACATCTTAAGATCTATTTTGAAATGTAATGCTTTCTGTGAAAAGATAATAGCCATCTCCTTACAAGGAAAACAAGTTAATATCATTATTTTTCAAGTTTACACATCAACCACCAGGCAAATGATGAAGAAAATGAAGAATTTTACCAACATCTTCAGTCTGAAATTGATCAAACCTGCAATCAGGATGCACTGATAATTATTGGTGATTGGAATGCTAAAGTTGGGGAAAAAAAGAGGCAGGATCAGTAGTTGAAAAATATGGCCTTGATGATAGAAATGATGCTGACAATCACATGATAGAATTTTGAAAGACCGAAGACTTATTCTTATTGCAAATTACTTTTTTTCAGCAACATAAATGGTGACAATACATGTATGTGGACCTTTCCAGATAGAATATACAGGAATCAAATTGACTACATCTGTGAGAAGAGATGATGGAGAAGTTCAACGTTGTCAGTCAAAACAAGGGCTGGGGCCAACTGTGAAACAGACTATCAATTGCTCATATGCAAGTTCAGGTTGAAGCTGAAGAAAATTGAAACAAGTTTACGTGAGACAAAATACAATGCTGAGTATATCTCACCTGAATTTAGAGACAATCTCAAGAATGGATTTGACATAATAGACTCTAATGACTGAAGACCAAAGAAGTTGAAGAATAACATCAAGCATATCATACACGAAGAAAGCAAAAGTTCACTAAAAAGACAGGAAAGAAAGAAAAGATTAAAGTGGATGTCAGAAGAGACTCTGAAACTTGCTTTTGAATATAAAGATGCTAAAGTGAAAGGAAGAAGTGATGATGTAATAGAGCTGAACAGAACATTTCAAAGGGAAGCTCAAGAAGACAAAACAAAGTATTGTAATGAAGTGTGCGAAAATCTGGAGTTAGAAAAACAAAACAAAACAAAAGAACATCGTCAGCACTTCTCAAACTGAAAGAACTGAAGAAAAAAGGTAAGCATTGAGTTGCAATATTGACAGATTCTATGGGTAAAATATTGAGTAATGCAGGAAGCATCAAAATAAGATGGAAATATTATACAGAGTCACTGTACCTAAAAGAATTGGCCAAGGTTCAGCCATTTAAGGAGGAAGTGTATCATCAAGAATGGATGGAATTGAAGGAAGACATCCAAGCTGCAATGAAAACATGGGCCAAAACCAAGCTCCAGGAATTGACAGAATACCAATGGAACTGTTTCAACAAACTGATGCAGTGCTGGAAGCACTCACCAGTCTATCCAAAAACGTTCAAAGATAGCTTCCTGGCCAATCAACTAGCAGAGGTCCAAATTTGTGCCCATTTCAAAGAAAGGTAACACAATGGAATGGGGAAGTAAAACAATACCATTGATATCACATGCAAGTAAAATTTTGCTGAAGATAATTTAAAAATGGTTGCAGGGTACATCGACAGGGAGCTGTTAGAAATTTAAGTTGGATTCAGAAGCGGATGTGGAATGAGGGATATCACTGCTGAAATCAGATGGATCTTTGCTGAAGCAAAGTATACCAGAAAGATGTCTATTTGTGTTTTATTGATTATGCAAAAGCATTTGAGTTTGTAGACCATTAACAAACCATTGAGAACATTGCAAATAATTGTGTTTATGAGAAACATGTACATAGACCAAGAGGCAGTAATTTGAACAGAACAAGGAGATACTATGGTTTAAAATCAGAAAAAACTGCATATTTTCATCACATTAATTGAATCTATATGCTGAGCAAATAATACAGGAAACTAGACCATGTGCAGAAGAACACAGAATCAAGACTGGATGAAGCTCATTAACAAGCTGTGAAATGCAGATGTCAATTTTGCTTGCTGAAAGAGAAGAAGGTTTGAAGCAATTACTGATGAAGGTAAAAAAATACAGCCTTCAATATGGATTACAAATTAATCAGAAGGAAAAAAAATCCTCACAACTACACCATAAACACCATGATTAATGGAGAAAAGACTGAAAATGTCAAAGATTTCATTTAACTTGGATCTACAATCAAATGCTCATGGAATCAGCAATCAAGAAATTAAACAAGGTGTTGCTCTGGACAAATCCGTTGAGTCAGACCTCTTTAAAGTGTTAAAGAGCATATGCCTGCACCACTTTGAGAATTAATGTATGTCTGGTCCAAGTCATGGCATTTTCAATTGATGTGTATGCATGTGAAAGTTGGGCAGTAAATAAAAAAGACTGGCGAAGAATTGATGTATTTGAAGTTCAGAGCTGGAGAAGAATATTGAAAGTACTTATGGGCTGTCAGAAGAACAAATTAATCTATCTTGGAAAAAGTACAGCCAGAATAACCCTTTAAAATGAGAATGACGTACTGTGGACATGTTATGAGGAGGGGCCAGTTCTGGAAAAGGACATAATGCGTTATAAAATGGAGGGTCAGTGAAAAATAGGAAGACCCTCAAAGAGATGGACTGACACAGTGTCTGCAACAAGGGGCTCAAAGTTACCAATTGTGAGGATGGCACAGAGCTGGATTATGTTTCCTTCTGTTGTGCATAGAGTTGCTAAGAGTCAGAGCTAACTCAAAGGCACCTAACAACAAACTAAGGCCTCCTAAGTTGAAAGCAAATGTTAGGTTGTTTAATTTTTATTGACACTGATACATTTTATGGAACAATAGAACTATCTGAACATTTAAAAATATATATTTATTGTATTTTTGGTGAAAGTAAACACAGCAAAACAAGTCCCATTCAACAATATTACCATAACGCTCAGTGACACTGGTTATTGAATGACATACATTCAATGTATGTCAGCGTTCTCATTACTTCTGTTTTACAAGGGTGAGTCAAAAATTATCTGCACTGTGGTTATTATTAGAACACCCATCCATGTCCACAGCTGATGACAACACTGAGCATGGACATGAGTTGATTCTGTCAAACAGACAGTGACAGTAAATTATGTGGCAAATCATTTGCATATCAGCCATGACTCTGCCCATGAAATAATCCATGACAGACCTGGGTCTCAAGAAGTTTGTGTGAGATGCATATCGAAATAACTCACGGAACAGCATAAACAGAAGTGCTTGGACATCTGCAAACAAACTTTGGACCGATACTCGAAAGAAGGTAAAAGTTTCTATAAAAACAGTCATTACTGTGATGAGAGATGGATTCATTACTATGAGCTTGAGAGTAAACTGTAGAACATGGAATGGAAGCATCCTCAATTGCTGATCAA